TAAATGCATTGTTGCCCCCTAAAAAATACTATTTTTACCGAGTTGCTCTTTAAAGTATTTTTTGGGACATTTTGCCTCTAAAGTTTAAATCGTTGCATCATTTTCCCCAAACCGTTAACTCCGTTAAAAAACACACGGATAAATTACATATTTAGTCACTCAACTATTTATATGGTTCTGTTTGAGTTACCCAACTTTTTTCCTTCAAAATCATCACTAAACTTAAGTTTTTATTACATTTTGGTCACCCAATTTGATTCAATTTATTTTTTTAATTTTTAATGTATAAGAATTCATTTATATTATTTTTTTACTCAACACATAAATTTATTTTTTAATAATAAGTAATATTATACAATGAATAATAAATAATATATTAAGTTATATGTAACACAAATAATATATAACATAAATAATAAATAATAAATTGACAACAAGAGAAAATGTTGAAACCAAAGAAAAATTTAAGCAGAAAAATATCTATTAAAATTGCATCCAAATTCCAAAGAAATCTACCCAAAAAAGCTAGAATCGAGAGTTTTGCAAGTGCTTTCCCATAACAAGATCTAGGTTTTCAAACAATTAAAATGAAAAAGAAATTATTTGAAAAAAAAGAAACAACTAAACCAGTAAAATTAAAAACACCTCCAAAGAAGAAAGTTTTTTAAAAAAAGCTTAAAGACTTTTATCGATGGCGATGTAGACAGTGCAAGTAGCAGTGAAGGTTGAGGAAATTTGAGGAAGGAATGGCGAGAAATAAATAAGAGGAAAACAATGAGTTTGATTTTGTTCGATTTCATAAAACACTGGAAAAATATGTCAATTTAAAATATAATTAATATATTTTTAATTTCAAAATCAAATCTCATAACTTTAAAAAATGATTTTATATTTTATACTCATAATTATTTTATACTTTTGTTGTTGATGTATGTGAAATTGGAAAAAAATAGTTTGGGTGCATGGGATTATGGTGATCAATATTTATTCGTATGTTGTGCAATTATCGTTTATGATATTTAATTAAATACTTATTATTTCATTTAATAGAATTTTAATTACATACAATTTAATATCTTGTTTATTTTTTATCTTATAATATTACTTATTTTAAATTTATGTGTCGAGTAAAAAAATATAATATAAAAGAATTCTTACACATTAAAATTTTAAAAAAAATAAATTCAATCAAATTGGATGACCAAAACTTAAATTTAGTGATGATTTTGAAGAAAAAACTTTGGGTAACTCAAACAGAACCACATAAATAGATGAATGACTAAATATGTAATTTACCCGCGTGTTTTTTGACGAAATTAACTGTTTGGTGCAATCGAGGTAACAATTTAAACTTTAGGAGATAAAATGTCCCAAAAATACTTTAAGGGGCAACTCGGTAAAAACAGTATAGTCTAGGGGACAATGATGCATTTAAGCCTTTAAAGTTTAGAGAATGCATTGCTCATTGGGTTATCATACATGAACATCTTTAATTTCTTAGTTGTTAAAAAAGAAGGTTTTAACTTGTTGTTGAAATGAGGAATCCCATAATGAAAAAGTGTCTTTTCATACTATAAGAAGTGATGCTTTCAAAACTTATGAGATTGAGAAGAGAAAGTTAAAAGAGTTGTTAAAGAGTACAAATAAAATTTCATTGATCATCGATTTATAGCGTTCAAGTCCTCAAAAGATTGAATATATGGTTCCTACCTCTCACTTTGTTTATTGTGATTGGAAACTTCAAAAGCAAATATTGAGCTTTGTTCACATACCTCCTCCTCAAAAAGGCAAAGACATTTCCAATTGCATATTCAAATGTTTAAAGGAGTGGGATATTGAGAATAAAGTAAGTTGTTTCATATTTTGAGTTATGTTTGCATACTTTTTCTAATATTATATAAAATTTTATTCACTTGTTATATTTATTCTTTTTACTAGGTTTTCATAATTATGGTGGACAATGCGACTACAAATGATATTTGCATAGAAATTTTGAAGGATACATTCTCATTGATTAAGAGGTTGATTTGTGGTGAAAAGTTATTCCATGTTCATTGTTGTGCTCACATTTTGGACATGTTCAACATTGATTAAATAAAGTGAAAACAATCATTAAGAATGTTCATGATACTATCAATTACATCAATGGTAGTGAGCATCAGATGAAAAAGTTTTTCGAACTTGTTGGACAATTCAACATAAAGCATAGAAGATTGGTTCTTGAATGCAAGACTAGGTGGAACTCAACTTATGACATGCTAGCATGTCCAATCAAATTTAAAGAGGTATTTTCTAGACTTGCTTTGGAGGATAAAGATTATATTTATTGTCATAGTGCTAGTGATTGGAGGGAAATTAAGAAATCGCTTGATATTTTAGTTGTGTTTTCTATTTCTACCAATATTATCCCGAGACTGAAATATCCAACCTCTAATTTGTTCCTTGGTGAAGTTTATAAGATTAAAATGTTGTTGGATGATAAATTGAATTATCTCGATGAATTTGTCAGTGGTATGGTTAAGAATATAAAAAAATTTGATAAGTATTAGGGTGAATGTAATCTACTTGTGGCTATGGGTTGTGCGTTGGATCCTCGTTTGAAAATGAAAGGTATTGAAGTGACTTTTTCGGACATGTTTCATTTAGAAGTTGTTCGAGATAAAACGTAAAGTCCGGGAAAATTTGTATAAACTTTATGATGAGTATGCTAGTTTATATTATTCTACAACAATGGGAAAAGGTGGAGAAAATGGAATTGAAAGTACTTCACATCTTAGTAGAGGAAAAACACTCCTGGTTTATTTGATCTAATAAATAAAGTGACAACGAAGTTATGGCTAATGTTGAAAAGAATGAAGTTGATTTGTATCTTGAGGATGGATGTGTAATGGATAAAGGTGACCACTTTGAACATATAAGATGGTGGAATGATCAATCTTTGAAGTTTCATATTTTGTCAATGTTAGTTATTGATGTTTTAGCAATTTCGAGAACAAATGTAGCTTTTGAGGCTACATTTAGTGCAGGGAGCGCGTGATTGATTCTTATAGAGATTCACTATCATTGGATACTGTACAAATGTTTATTGTGGAGATTGGTGTCAATCCCTCCATAGAGTGAAGAGAAAGAACAAAGTAAGACTATTTAAGATTAAGCATATTAATTGATTTAGTTCTATATTATTCATGACAAAGTAAGGATATTTATTTCAGTATATTATTATAAAATATTATAATTGTTTTTTATTGACAAGATAACTATGTTAATCAAACAAATGAATTTTTTCTTCCAATTTTGTATTTTGATGATTACAGGCAACAATGAATTGAGTGAAGAGATGTTGATTTCCTTAATTTTAGGATTGGTTATATATTGTTGAACTTTTTTTCCAAGAATGCTTTTAATATGTTAGTTTTATTTATTTGTGGATTGTTACTTTGATTTTAATATGTTAATTTACTGTATTTATGGATTATTAGTTTGAAATTTAGACTTTAAAATTGCTTCATACACTCTTTTGATAATTGCTTCATACACTCTTTTAATATGTTACGACGGCTCGATACGAAACACTTTAGGGCTTAATCAAGGTCGTTGGATCTCCTTAGATCCAATGGTTGATGATTGGTGGCGCAGACTTCCCCTATGGTTAAGGTGAAAATCCTAATGATGCATCATATTTGGATCATTGGATCTAATATGATCCAATAGTTCCTAAGACTAGCGACTGAGGAGAAAAACATGAAACCTTAATCTATTGGGCTCCATTGCTTGTTGGGCTCACTAGTTCCTTTGTAATTGGGTTGGATGCATTTGATTTGGGCCTTCTAACATTCAGGTTGCAATAATAGAAATATTAATAAAAGTTGTCATTTTTTCATTTTCATATCTTAGTATTTATTTAATATTTATTTAATATAATTAAATAATAATTAATAATAACTATTGATAAAAATTTAATGAATACTAATATTAATATTACTACTACTAATAATAGTTAATTAAATAATAATTAACACTAATTAGGCTAATTAGATGGTAACTAATACTAATAAAACTAATTAGATGGCAATTAATACTCATAAAACTAATTAAATAGTAGTTAATACTAATAAAGTTAATTAAATAGCAATTAATACTACTAATAATATTATTAATAATATAATAATAATTATAATAACTTAAATAACAAAGCTTATTAAAAAACTAGATGAAAATATGTGTCACACTTCAAAGCAATGGTAGTGCTAATAGACATCAATAAAATTATCATATCTTGATCAGCATGTTAATGTCCAATTCAAACGACCGTAAATTTTTTTAACGGAACCGAACGAGTATGAAAGATATGAATAATCAAGTGACAATTTTATAACTTTAATTAGTCGGAGACTCAATGAAAATAGCAACTTATAGCCACAAGACCATTTTATAACTTTTAATAGTTAAATAACTCGATAAAACAACGTCCTATAGTCGAAGGACCATTTATATATTTTACCCTAAAAAATTTGTGAAAGCATAAATAAGTAATAAATATAAAAAAATTTATTCATTTAATTTACAAAGAGAAGTCGCCGTGTTCATATCAGCAGAAAAATGCCTGGATTTCTATTTTCTAAAATTCTCAAAGTAAATTAGGATTAACTTATATTGGTCTGGTATATGATAAAACCAAGATTATAAACCCTAACCCCATTAAAAAAACATAATATTAAAATTAACCCTTAATATTTATTAAAATGATTATTTTATTTATTATTCTATTTTTTTTGATTATTTTGATCTCAACGTTTGAGTTTAGAGTAAAAAAATCTCCTAAGACATAATAATCACTTTATATATCATTTTTAGGATATTTTAACCTTTAACGTTTTATTTTAAGTTAAAAAGACTCATATTTTAGAGCGTTAATCTTATGTTAACTAATGATTTTTATCATAGAATTTTTCACTCAAAAATAAAACGTTGGAAGATAAAATACTAAAAAGAAAAGAATATGAACTAAAATAATTATTTTAATACATATTTGAGGTTATTTTTGTTAATATTCCTAAAAAAAACTAATCAATGCCAGTGAACAAATAGTTGATAAGAAGATGAAACAAAAACAAATCATCATCACTGGATGTTTTCCCTGGGAGCATGTAAAGGAAACAAATGCAACAACTCAGGTTCACCTCTACTTTGATGATGCAAATAAAACCCAGTACCCTTTTCCTCTTCTTCTTCTTCAACTGTGAACCTCGTTCGCTTGGCGTTCGACGGTGGGCTGAGGAGGGGAAAGAAATCCAACGTCGAAACGGGCGAAACCAATGACCCTCTTTTTCCAGCAGACAGGGAATCGTTTTTTCCATTACTGAGGTTGATTTCGAGCTTGTTGAGGGCTTGTCGACGTTCGTGGAGCTTGAAAACGGGCTTCTTGGTGGTGGCGCCGGTGAGGTGCTGGACGATGGTGCGGAAAGTGGAAGGGTCAGCTTGGACGAAGGTCGTGGTTGGGTCTGTACAAGCCATGGTGGTTTTTGAGGAGGAAGCCATTAAAGAGATTCGGTGTTAATGGCTTCTTCCTTCTTTTATATAGGGTTTGAAAATTCAGGGATACTGGTTTTATGGGGCAATGTGTCTTTCAAGAGAGGGAATAGAGTATTATTGCTGTAATAATAATTGAATGGGTGAACTAAAAGTTTAATATGTAAATTATTATTTTTGTTCCTTTTTTATATTTAATTTTTTTTAAATCATTCTTAAAGTTTGTTTATGTTTCATTTTGATATCGTGCTATTAAAAATTTAATAATGATGTTGATGTATTATCATAAAGTAATGTTACATTATCATTTAAAATAAAAATATCACGTCAGTAGTTATGTTAATTTTTTAACTAAATACCAAATTTAAATCTAAATTAAACATTAAATATAGTTTTGAAAAAAAATAAAATTTAACTATTAGAACGGAACAAAAATAATTGTTTATATATTAAAGGTATAATTTATCCTAATTGAATACACACGTCCAAATTGTCAAATTTATGACTTGTTTTCCTCCTTTTTCAACCCATCAATTCACCATTTACTAGTTTTTCAACTCTTTCATTTGAATTCTTAAAGAAAACTTTTTTTTAGAAATTCTAATTTTAAACAAATATTAATATTATAATAAATTATTTACTTAATCATTAAGTTATGTACTCAATTTTATATATTCTGGTCATTAAAAAAATATTAATCAATTAGGTAAATGTTTTATTTTAATATCAATCAAGTCATTAATAGTTAAAATCTTAATAAAAATAATGTTATAACATGTTATAATAATAATTTATTCTATAAACTTATACAATTAATCAGTCTTAAATAATTTAATAAATTTAATCTTTCATATTTATACATTCAATCAGTTTAGCTTTTTTTTTTACATAATCTTTCTCTAAAATCTTAGCTTTATATTTAAGAAATCTATCAATTCATTTCATTCATTCCACAAACACATCATCAAACTAAAAATTATATATAATTTTACAATTCGATAACTAAAAAAATAATAATTAACTAACAATACTGCTATAATTAAATTTAAGTACAAGTGACTAGTTATTGGATAAAAAATCAAATAGAGCAGGTCTAAAATTTGGTTATTTATTATTATTTTTCTGGTGTAAATTTGCTCTGAATCTTTGTATTATTCAAAATTTTAATTTCATAATACTTACTTTTAATTTCAAGAATTTAAACTAAAATCCTCTATAATATTAGCAGGTGGTTCAAAGCTCTCAGTTGACACATTCACTCTCTCCTAGGTTATAAGTTCAATATCTGAGCAAAATTCTCCCTCTCCCTAAGTAGGAATTATTTAAAGAAATATTAAATTAAAGTCTAAAATAATAATATTGTCGATTGACTTCCTTTGAATTTGAATGTGTTATAAATCATAGCTTTAAACATTAGAAAGATATATATTCGTCAACAATATCTAGAGAAAGTGATTAAAAGCTCTCAGTTGACATCTTTCATTTCTCATAGGGAGTGAGTTCAATATTTATTAAGAGCAAAAATTCCTCTGCCTAGGTAGAAATTGTAATATATATATATATATTCTCAAATTCAATGAAAATACATTAATTGGGTTATCAATTGGATATTAAATTTTAGGCAAAATGATGACTTTCGCCCCTATCTTATTTATCATGCAATTAAACAACTTTAAGTGCTAAATTGTTGCGAAAATGATAAAATGAGTCTAGTACAGAGACAAAAGTTATCATTTTACCTAAATTTTATATAAGATAAAAAAAACTAGATTCACTGAATTTTTAAAATTAAGAGAAGGGATTAAAATTTAAAGGTTTTGAAAATACAAGAATTGACGAGAAAACTGAAATTTATTTATTATCAAATTAAAGGCAAAATGCCAAAATTAGCCACCATAGTTTATCAAAATGGTCATTTCGCGCCTATTCTATTTTTGGAGTATTTTGACCCACAATGTTTTATTTTAGCACAAAAAGGCCCCTAGCATTTGACATAATAATCACTTTATCCCTTATTTTTTTTGTGACATTTTAGCCCTTCATTTTATTTTAGGTTGAAAAAGGCTCCAATTTTAGAGCGTTAATCGTGTGTTAACTAATGGTTTTCATCTATAGATGGAGCTGTTTGCCCTAAAGAAAAACACTGGGGTCAAAATGTTCAAAAACAAGAATAAGAGACAAAATAATTATTTTGATAAATATTAGAGGCTATTTTTAGCATTGTGTCATTATTAAAATAAAAAATTGATTAGCATTTATGAGCATAAATGAATAGTGTCCTAACCTTGAGTGAAGCAAATACAATTTTAGTAAATTTGGAAAAGAAAGTAGACAGATTGGATAATTTAATTGAGGGGTTGGGTGTACACAATTAATGGGGTTGAAAATAAATGTGGGGCTGTGCTGTATTGGACTTGAAGAAAGCCGAAAGAACTTAAAGATTCCCTACCTAACGCGGCTTTGACCTCTCACCGCACGTTTTCAATTTTCAACCCATTAATGATAATGCATTGAACTATTTTTTTTAGTTAAATTATACATTTAGTACTTAAATTATTATTTCTATTCTGCTTGATACTTCAATTTTATTTTTTTTATTTAAAATCATATATAAAGTTTAGTTTATGTTTTAATTTCATACCCAACCATTAAAAAATTAGGGTAAAGTACACAGATGATCTCCCAACTATAGGGTGTTGATTTGTTAAGTTTCTTGACTATTGAAAGTTATAAAATGATCCCCTAACTATAAGGTATTATGCTATTGAGTCCTCATACTCTTAAAAATTATACAATGATCACTCAATTATTGATATGTTCCGAACTCGTCATTTTCCATTAAAAATTAACGATCGTCTGAATTGAACGTTAACATGTTGATCGAGATATGATAAAATCATATTTTAATGATGTCTATCGAAATCGTCGTTGCTTTTAAGTATTGACTCGGAAACATAATGTTTCAAGCACTAGCTCGATGACATAATCTAAACATAAGCTCGATGACATAATCTAAACATAAGCTCGATGACATAATCTAAACATAGACTCGATCCATAAAATACAACTCAAACGGTTCTAAGATCATATTTTCTCACATCTCAGTGACTAGGTTAATGTACAACTCATATTACCACCAATTTTTTAACAGAAAATGACAAGTTTAGAACATATGAATAGTCGAGTACTATTTTATTAGTTTTAATAGTCGAAGGACTCAATAAAGTAACACCTTATAACCTAGGACCATTTTGTAACTTTTAGTAGTTAGAAGACTCAATAAAGCAACACCCTATAATCGGGGACCATTTGTGTACTTTATCCAAAAAATTAATATAACTATTGATATGATATTTTTTATTTTTCGATGATGACGTGATATTATCTTTTGATGACACATCAATAAAATAGTTAAAATTTTAAAGATCGATACTAAAATGAAACTTAAACTAGACATTATGTATGATTTTAGAAAAAAAATAAAGTTTAGATATCAAAATAGAATAAAAGAAATAGTTTAGATAAACCTATAATTTACCCCTTTTTTTATCGAAGCCTCGAACCTTCTTCATTCCGCCTTCATGTTAGTTAATGCATCCCATTTATGTATATGTGTTTGTGTGTTTTTTAAAAAATTTTATATGTGAATTTTAAATCTTTTATATATTTCATTTAAATATTAAATAATGATATTATACACTTAAAAAAGAACCAATATTGGTGTGCTAAATATTTATCTTTAATTAAACACATATTAAGTAGTCTCTAAACGGTTCTAATCAATTATCTTTTAAGAGTTAAAAGCGTCACATGAATTGGCAATCTAGCGTCTCTCTCTCTTATTTGATTCCTTTTAGTTTAGATTTAAATAAATATTCTCTGTTTTGATTTTTCTTCATATATTTTTGTAGCATTTATTTTTATCTATTTTTATTACACGATTGTTCATATGTTTTTATGGTATAATTTTATCTATTGTTATAATATTTGATGTTTCGTGTTATATTTATCACAACGCGCCTCTTGCTCAGGAAATGTCGATGGTTACATATAGCTAAACCTCTGTTTATGATACTTTCGATTCAATCAGAATCAAAGGTGGAACCATAAATTTATTAAAGTGGAGTTAATTTTTTTTTGTTTTTCATAAATATAATTTTTTTTAGTTGAAGGTGGTCTGGCAAATTTTTCTTTCTTTATTTTTAAAAAGTGTATTTTTTTAATATTAATTCATATTTAAAAATATTGCAGGGTCAAGACTCCTCTTGACCCCACGAAGTTCCGCCCATGTTTAGAACCATTTGCAAAGCGATATGGCATATTAGTTATGTTAATCTCTACGTCTACATTAATATTATATCTAGTTTGAATAAAGGACAATGAGATTATTAATAGTTACTATAATTTTTTGGAAGATGTTTTCATTTTATTTTTCTTCAAACCTTTTAAATTTTTATGTTAAAATTTTGTTATTTTTATTGTATCTTGTGGAGGATCAAAAAATATTTTTTAGGGTGGACACGTGTATATTAATAACCTAAATTTTTCGTATGAGGTGGACACAAATAAAGTTTCAAGGTAGTATCCTTCAATAAAATGAACTATTAACATAAAAAAATTAAATTTCAGGATAAACATATAACCACTATAAGCAAAACCTAAATAAAATATAATGTAACCTCCTCAAACCGATGTGGATAACCCGGTCCGATCTGGAGTGTCACATTAGGGCCATCGGAGCGACTCACTGTAAAAATCTCGAAAATTTTAATTTTTTTATTAAAACATGTAACTCATAAAATGATTTATTATTATTCAGAAATAAAACAGGTTTTTCAAACTCAGATATAAAACAAAATACAATTACATGCCCCCTAATCACATGTATCATACTCTGCAAGCAATGCGGGAAGAACTCCCTTACTGATGTTCATAGCTATACTGGTACAATTCTTTTAACCTGCAATGGTTAGTAATAAAGTGAGCTTCGGAAAGCTCAGTAATACAGAACTACCAGATTATACTACATGACATGCAGATAAATGGAAAGCCATATAATTTCCTTATTGA